TACGGTGTGTGGGTCTGATTGTGCGGGACGACCTTCTGGAACGGCTCCCGCACCCCGTTGACCGCCTCCACCGCCCTCAGGTACACCACTGTCCCTCCCTCGGTCGGCTGCACGCGATACACCTCGGCCAGCGCCATGCCCCTCTTCTGGACAGTCGACACCATCCACAGCCGAGTGCCTTCCTCGTAACTCTGAGGGCCACGGCGGGACACCAGCTGCACAACACACACAGACAGAGGCGACGGAGGAATGAGTGTGTCTGTCAGTCATTCGCTGCAGATCCCCTCTGGCCGGCCTCACCTCTTCTGTGCGCTCTTGGAGTTCTTCATCGCTGGCCGCTACACCATCCGCCTCCACATCACCTGAAGCAGCACCAGCAGCAGCAGCCGAAGCCGAAGCACCCCTCTGCCGCTGAGAAACAAGCAGCAACAGGCAATAGGACAATCATCACTCCGCTGCAGCCGACTTGCGTCACCTGCGCGGTTTCCCTCTCAGACATGATCTCTCTCTGTGCGATGAATGGCTAAGTCGTCTGGACCATCTCGACTCGACAGCCGCTGCCGTGCAGCACACCCGCCATCCGTCAAGCCATGAGGGGGTCATCCATCCATCCGTGGCTTACCGGCGAAAGGCTCTCGTCGTTGAGGCTTCTTATCGACGAAATGCGCTAACCACAGCACTCACGCTGCTCACGTGAGCACAACCAGCTGTAGAACACGCTGACTCCTCCCTCTCAACGCGAGCTGTGGCGATGGCTGGCGATCCATCGCAGGACTGCCGCAGATGGATAGAATGTGGTGCCGCCCAGCTCATGTGTGCTTGTTGTGCCGCTGTGTCTGCTGTGTTGCTGCAGATCTCTTCATTCATCTCACCACAAGGCAAGACCTCGGTGGACATGGTTCTGGTGGTGACAAGGCAAGTGCCCGACGATCCACTGACGCTCGAGAGGAGGGAGAGAGCGGAAGGGGGGGAAAGGGGCGGAGCGGAAATTCCATCATCCGTTCTGTTGCGTGCGTGTGTTTCAGTTGCGGGAGCCTCATTTCGTTTCGTCTCCACGACAAAACGGTCAGGCAGGAAATCCGACGACACACGACAGACAGGGGCGAAAGCAGCCAGGAGCGCAGGAAGGTTATCGTTGTTTCGCCGAGCGTTTTTTCACAAGGCAGATGGCGCTTGAAGAGAGCACAATTGCGCCACACACGGAGGTGCCGTCGAAGTCCCAGCTATGTCAAGATCTGCGGCTCACGGAGACGGAGGAGTCGCTGTTCGAGCTGCTGCTCAATGCGGTTGAGGACAAGGGTCTTGACACCACACTGCGTGTGGCGGGCGGCTGGGTGCGGGACAAGCTGCTGCACTTGGGGAACACCGCCTCGCACGACATCGACATTTCTGTGGAGGGAATGCTGGGGCGGCACTTCGCCGAGCACCTCAATGAGTGAGTGAGCGAGGGAGTAGTGGACGCACTCCTGGAAGGGCCGCCGTCAGTGGATGTGTGTGTGTACACGTGCAGCTGGTTAAAGACCCGTGGGCTCCCGCCCCGCAAGATAGGTGTGATGGCGGCGAACCCCGAGGAGTCGAATAAGCCTGAGAGGGCGACGCTCAGGCTGAAGGGTGTACAGGTGGATTTCGTCAACCTGCGGACCGACTTCTGCACGGAGGACTCGGGGATGCCGACGATCTACCAGACAGGCAAACCTGGGGGAGCTTCTGTCGCCTGTGTGGTAGACGCCTATCGTCGGGACTTGACGATCAATGCCCTCTTCTACAACCTGCACGAGAAGAAAGTGGAAGACTTCACCGGTCGATCTGTGGAAAGAGTGACGGACAGAGAGACGAGCCGCTGACTGATCCGCGCTGCGCTGTGCTGCGTTGCACTGCAGGTCGTGGTATCGAGGATCTGAGAGCTGGCGTGCTGCGAACACCACTGGACCCCGTCAAAGTGCTGCTCGGAACCCCCCTGCGCGTGCTCAGAACCATCAGGTGAACGCACAGACATCTGAGGGCTGCCGCATCTGAGTCACCCGGCACATGTGTTTTGATCGGGCTTTGCAGATTTGCGTCTCGTTTCAATTTTCGCATCTCGCCTGAGCTCGAGACAGCGTGCCGCGATGCGCGGGTACACCAAGCGCTCGCAGACAAGGTGGTGACCAACTGCACACACGCACATCGCACATGACTGATCGGGGGCACACGCTGTCTGTCTGTCTGCAGGTCCCCCGAGAGCGCATAGGTGCCGAGCTGGACAAGATGATGAGCTGCAGCGACCCTGTTCAGTGTCCCTGGCAGCTGCTCACTTCCTTCGGACTGGCCCCCGTCCACTTCCTGCAGCCAGAGGTGCTCGACCGCTACGTGAGGTCCTCAAAGTCGCCCAACGAGATGTGTGTTGACGGGATCCTCAGGGACGGCCTGATGACCGTCAAGAATCTGCACAGTGTGATGAAACAGTATGCCATCAACAACGCACACTCGACGTGCTTCCGGGCACAATAAGGGGGATTGTGTTGTGTGTGTGCGTGGGATTGTAGGTCTGTTGAGCAGTGGGGTCCTGATGAGAAGAAACTGATGAGCTACGCGGCATTCCACGCGCCGCTCGCCGGTCCGAACACACAGAGAGACTCACTCACGTGAACGCACACACATCTGGAACGCACTGCTTCATCTGGACCGGTCTCTCTCTCTCTCTCTCTGTGTCTGATTTCCGTTTGCATTTGCAGGCCTGCAGTATAAGGTTGACAATGGCAGACTCTCGCCCCTTATCAGCCACCTTCTGGGCAGCCGTCTCAAGCTTCCAAGACAGGTCGCACAGGGGTGAGAGGCTGAGCAGACTACGACAGACCGAGCAAGACACAGCACCTCCAGCTGCTTCCTTTCTTGTCGTGTCCTCAGCGTGGCTCTCATCTTGTCGACAGCTCTCGAGTTCCAGCGACTCGTCGGGGAGTGGGCCGAAGGGGCCGTCCCGCCGCCTCCAAAGACCGACGGAGCCGCCCGATCTTCTGCTGCGGATCACTCTGTCCATGACGCTGATAAAGCTTCCGATGCATCTCAACGGTCGCGGTACGGCAGAGTGGATCTGGGCCTCATAGTCAGGAGAGCGGGGAAACTGTGGAAGGTACACATATACACACGCAGAGCAAGCAGGCAGCACTCGCGCAACCGACCTCTTGTGTGTATTGTGTGTCCCCAGGCATCCCTGGCGGTGGCAATGGCCGGGGCCATCGGCAGAACGCCCCTCGAGTCAGCCCAGCACCTGATGTCCGGCTACAGGGCCGTTGAGGAGGCCATCGATGAGTTCGGGCTCATCGGTGTGTGGAAGCGAGATCCGCCTCTGGGGGGGAAGGCGGTCAAGGATGTGCTGCCTTGTCTGCCGACGGGGCCCGAGCTCAACGAGATAATGAAGCACGTAATGGACGCGCAGGTGGTGTGGATGCTGGCGCACCCTGACGGCACGGCCGATGAGTGCAGGGAGTTCATCAAAAGGGAAGTCGGTCGGTTTTGCGGCGTATCACGCGCCGAGAGCCTCACGTCCTTGAGATACTACCGCTACGTCAGAGATGAGAGCCCCGATGGTCCCTCACTCTATGGCGAAATCAGCCAAAGCGGAGAGTTCAGCAGCGAAGAGATGTTCGGCCCTGTGGTGGTGTCCTTTGATATCGACGGCACCCTGGCGAACATCGAGAAGCGACTGGCGCTCAAACCGGTGAGTCTGGATAGGACAGGCCTGTCGTGCTGCCTGTGAGTGTCGTCACTGTCACTGTGTGTGCGGTCAGGTCCCCCGAAGCGACGCGGATTGGGATGTGATACTGAGTGGCGACAACTACTACCTCGATGAGGTCAGTCAGCGACTCGTGGGCACACGAGAGACGCTCCATTCGCATGATTCACATGCCTGCCTGCCTTCTGTGCTGTCTGTCATCTTTCGCTGCGGTGCCGCGTCATCGTCACGACAGCCGATTCCTGAAGCCCGTGGTACGAGCAGACTGGCCAATGATTGATGCACCCATAGCCGAGTCTGCTGCTGTGCTCGTCTTCGTTCAGCCTTCCTGCAGCAGCTCGTCCAGCTGACCAGACACCACCCGGCCGACGGCGACCCTCCCTCGTCGCCCATCACCATTGTCTATCTATCGGGCCGTCGAGCGGGCACAGAGGTGCAGACCTCGCAATGGCTGGCGGCCCACGGCTTCCCACATGGCGTGATATTCCACCGCCCCAAGGGCGTCAAGGGGGGTCTGTTCAAGGAGCGTGTGTTGAGGTGCCTCCACCAGCCGCCGAGGCGGCACGTGATGGCTCATGTGGGCGACCGGCCGATGGAGGATGCTCTGGCCGCTGTCAAGACAGGTCGGTGGGCACACACACACACACACACACATGTACGCAGACAGCTGGATGTGTGCGCGGCTTCTGTTGCGTGCGCGGCAGGGGTGCGGCCCGTCTTGATTGCTCCGAACGAGTGGACGGGCAAGGCCCATTCGGCGTCTCAGGAGTGCGATCGGCCGGCTGGATGGGTGGCGACATCGACGCTCGAGAGCATCGTGGACGACGAGAGCCGTGAGGGCAAGCAGCCGTCGATGAGCTCGCGCGAGGTGGCCGAGGGGCACTCTCTGCTGCGCATCTAGCGCCGCCATCGGCGTTCCCGGCAGATTTGTTGGATGCCTGCATCACGGCACACAGACAACAGGAGGGAATCGGTTCAGATGTTCATCGTCACATTGTGGTGTGAATGGCTTGTGCTTCCGCCGTACCAATGTGACGTCGGTCGCGGGCGAGAACGCATCCAGAGGAGGAGATAGATGCCCAGCAGCCGCTTGAGGGTCCGTTGCATGTGCACCTAAAGGGCGACGCGCATGAAACAACCAAGTGCGTCGACTGCACAGTGGCTGCCTGAGCTGGTTCACTGAGGTTACCTGCTTGAGCGTACTGGGGTGTCATCTGGGGATGGATCAGGCTGGTCACTGACATAGTTGACGAACAAAAGCTGCCCTTGCTGTGCAGCGATGATGGACCAACGAAGCCACCTCCTGCAAACAGAGATGCGTGCATGAGGGCGCTGTCTGCACACTCGTCTGGGTCGCCTATTCGTTACCTGTGAGTGGATGTGGGTTGCCTCGCTGTCCTACTTCCTGGTCGCCGCTTTGGCGTGGATCAAAACCCGAAACACCATCATGACCGACATGTCCGTGTGGATTCGCGGCCGGCAGAGGCCCTCCGAAAGGCTGGAGGGCACAACACAGGCAGACATACAGACAGGAATGATGGGTAAGTCCCTGTCGACAGCCCGATGCTGCTCACCAGCATTGACGGTGAAGCAGTTGGACCAGTGGGATCAGTGGACGCGCACACAAGGCCTGCGTACGTACATTCACGACCTGCAGGAGCGTCTTTCATCTTGCCCGCATGCCTGCATGACCCACCTGTATGTCTGCAACGCTGCCGATGACGGACGTCGTCCTCCGAACACTTGTTCGGGCGCTACTCGGCGTGAGTAGCTCACAATCGCAAACAAAATGCCTATCACTCATCATGATAGGAAATCCTAACAGGCCTTGATTAGGCGAAATCGGGCACGACTTCACATGATAGATCTGACACAAAAATGACTGCGTGGGACGTCTGTGGTAACGAATTAAGCAAGCCACATGCAGATCAACAGATTCTGTGACACTCATCGCTCACTAGGGTTTAGGGTTCAGGGTTCGAGCCCCGAGTCAGCACTGATCCCTAAACCATCCTGCTCACCTGCACTGATAGAACGAACAGGATCACAAGTGACGTGTGTGCATCAAGGCAGATCGGCTTACCGTCGTCGCTTCCTCGAGATACCCGCCGTCGGCCGGCGGCAATGGTGCCGGTCAGAGCGTGGCTCGGCCATCCAGCAGGGAGGGCGGGAGCCGTCGGTACCATTGATGAGGGGCAGCACGGTGCCGTTGATAGCGGGAGACGGGCACGCGCAATCTGGATGAATGCATGGACACACACACACACACAACCCATACACTAATGCCGTGTTGTTCTCTCCCTCCCCTCCCTCCCTGCCCGTCTTGTTCTGGATGAAGGGAGGGATGCGCACAAAGACACTTATGCGATTGACAGCGAAGCGATCCCACCAATCCATCCATCCAGCCACCCATCCAGCCACCCATCCATCCATCCACCTAGTGCTCCTGCTCATTCTTCAACTACATTGGAGACACACAGACAAGCACACATCAAACATCACATACTCGCGGTCGGCCTTCCTTGTCTCCTCAACAGGCTCGTGGTGCGTTGCGTTGAACGCAGCACGATCAAAATGCAAGCGGCTAGTGTAAGTCCACTCACCCTGAGGGTCTGAATGTCTTCTCTGCTGTCGCTGCCGCCTCATCGCTGTCGAAACGAGCACAGCGCCCTTTAATGCGGTGGGCAACCAACGCGTACAGAGAGAGGAGAGACATACTGAGTGACGCATGGTCATCTGACGCACATACATGATGAGGTCAGCTGACCTTCACAAAACCACACACACACCCACGACAGGTCGCATCCGTGCATGCCTTTGTGTGAGTCGATTTGGTCGATTTAGCACATGCAGCAGGTCGTGGCAGTTCCGTTTTGATCTCTTAGAGAACTCACATCAGCATCCTGCATATAGAACGGCGCCTCGCAGTAACAGCTGATTTGTGAACACATATGACACCAGACACAACACGTGCAGCTACATGCGACTGATAGTGTTGCTGCATTCCATCCGCCTCCCACACTGACCTTTGCTGCTCTCGAGATGGCCACCACCTGTGTGCGCATCAGCATCCTCGTGGCGGCCAATGAGCTGCAACGTCAGGTCAGACACAGACGACTAACCGACTGTAGATGGTGCGTGACTCCGGTTGTCGCGTCCCCTGGTCCTGGGCAGATAAAGAGGGGAACAAACGCGCTTCTTCGTCGCCATCAGTCGCACCACGCAGCTGCCCCAGGTAAAGCTGATTTGCACAATTGCAATGGATGAATTCTCCTCCCAATTGCAATGGATGATCACGGTGCGGGCTGCGGACTGTCACAGAGCCGACAGAGAAGAAACTGGAGGGCATCCACAGACGCCTGCAGGCAGGGAGCACCTCCTCCTCAAGTAGCAGAGGACGGGAACCATCAGATGCGGGCTGCTGTGTTGTCAGAAGGCAGCGATCGTTGAGTTGAGTGACATTGGGGTGCAGGAGACCCCACAAGAAGCGCCGTCGATGGTTGTTGTGCTCAGCCAATCCTGCTATTCCTGGCCAGCTTTCTAATGGTGTATGGCGATCTTTTAATTGGGGAGCTCCTTGTGGGGCTGGCGGAGTGAAGGAAAGGTCCATTCTCCTCATTCGGAATCCTCCGCACCATCCCCAGTCGGGAGGAGGGGGGAAAGGGGAGAGACGAATGCCCCCGCGCGGATCGACATCGACACCCAAGCTGCAGTAGGAACGCACAGCTGCAGAACCCACCCGACACTCTGCCGTCTGTCTGTGTGTTGCCTGTCGCTGTGTGCATATCAGATTGAAGCTTTGCACTGATGCCAGCGACAAGCCCGCGCCATGCACTGATCTCTTCGCACTGGATGGTTGCAATGTCCCACTCGTTCATCCGTTTGTCCATCGTGAGCAGAAGCATCAGCATCAGCGGGCGGCACCAATCGGTGTGATTCCAGTCGGCGGGGAGAGGGAGCGACAACATTGCGTGAGGCGGCGACAGTCAGCATGTCTTTGCGAGAGAGGCGGTCGAATGTGGCAGTCGGCTGTCACATGTACTGCACTCATGCTGTGTGTGAGGTGCTCGTCGGCCAGTTTGCACACGAGTGTCGAGGGTGAGCCGTTGTTCTGCTTCATCCATCGCTGACAGTGTGCTGAGCGTTTTGGCTCAAGTGACTGGCCTATGCACTCGTATGCGTGTACGTGGATGGACTCAGATTAGAGTGGCCCTCGATTTATTCATGCACAACGGAGTTGAGTATGAATGGACGCATCGTGGATGTTTCTGTCTGTCAGTGTGTGTCCCCGTCACACTCACAAAGGCCTTCACTAAGCGTTCTGCAGAGATAAAAAGTGTATTCGGCTGGTTTTTCTCCCACACTAGGCTGTAGTTGTCTGTGACTGTGCATGTTGTCCGTGTGTCCAGAAAACCCATCGTGTACAAACAGTCCACTTGACAACACATGCATACGTCGCGTCGATGTTTGCATCACAGACATGTGTGTACCTGGCTGGGCAGCGATGAATTCACACGGCAGAAACGCAACTGACAACCGGACGTATCGGGAATGCAATTCAGTGATCTGTCCCGCATCCACATCGCATTGCACGTCCACTGCCAACTGCATTAACGCACGCACGCACTCACACCACCCATGGACACCGCCCACGGCCGTATCGACAGACAGACACAGACATATCGACCAAGGCCATTTACAGCGCTCTACACACTCAGATGGCATCTCGCAGTGAAGCTCCTCTTCTCGCTCGTCCCTTCCATTCGTGGACCCCATCTTCTCCACTTGCAGCATCATCTCACTGGGGCAGAACACACAGCAGGACGTTGATTCGCGACTCATTACATAATCGGGATGTCCGTTACGTACCGTCTTCGTAACGAACCGCGATCGCCCACACCGTCCTTTGCTCCTGCAACCATCCCTGCATCTGTCCTCTGCTGCCGCCCGAGCCATTCTCACCCCTCCAACCATAGCATCGCCGTGACTCCGTGATTGTTGTTTCTCCGCCGAGTGCTTTGGCCCTTCTCCCCAGCCTTTCCCCTTCCAATGATGGACACTGACGCTTCCTGCCCCTTCTGCATGAAAGACGATGCCGCGGACAGCCTGCTGCTTCTCCCAACGCAGCCGATAAGTCCGCACTCTGTTTTCTCTAGCGTGCTGCACCAGATCTGGGTCAGCGCCGTCATCACGAGGACCAGAGGAGCAAGAATGAAAACAGAAGACGGCGGACGGTTGCGGCGGTTGGGAAGGAAGGGCGGACAAGTGCGAGCTTCTGTGGAGCCGAGAGGTCGTCCCTCGTGCTGGGAAGGAGGCGGGGGCGGCGCCGTGAGTGTCGGCGGTGCCGTATCGCGCCAGCCTGTGAAGAGATCTCTCAAAACGAAGGCGGATGGATGAATGTTTTTTTTAATTTTATTGATTTTATTTTTATTTTGTTTTTTTGGTGGGATGAGCAAACCTATAAAGCGTGGTAGGACATCCCAGAAGTGGAGTGTTTCTTTCTTTCCGCCGGTACGGTTTTTGTGCCTCGTGTGTGCTTCATCCAGTGACTCAGATCCCGTGTTAGTAATCTTCCACTCGGCGGCACCTGTCGCGCCTTCATCCCATCGGCCCAGATACGGTAAGTGGGTGTGTTGGAACGTTGAGGGAGGCGATGACGGTGCAGTGGGATCATGAGGCAGCGAGTGACTGTCCCGATGGTGCATTATTTCAGGTTCGCCATTCGAGACGAAACGAGGGCCGACCGCCAGCCGCCTGCTGCCTGACGCTGCTGATGCCTCGCCTCGTTCTTGTACTCATGGCTGTCAGCCACGCACTCGGCGACTCCTGCAGCCAACCATATGGCACAGGTATGCCAAACCTGCGACATGGAAAGGCGCAACCATTCATTGATGTGTGTGTGTGTGTGTCTGTGTACGCAGACACGTCTGGTGTGCTGAGAGTGAGAGGAGAGGAGATAGACCACGATGCCCGCACGGACGTCCATATGGCCCCGGGGCATGTGTGCATCGGCAAGTGGCCCACCAACCGACGCAAGCGGATTCACGCCGCTCCTCGCTTGCCGCATCGTCCAGCGGATGCAGCCCACACAACGGTGTGTTTGTCGTCTGGCCTGGTCACCGCCTTGTTCGCCCTCTTCCAAGCTGCAGTCTACCTCTCTGGAGCGCTCAGTTTCCTCGTCTTTGTGCCCGGCGCGGTGCTCATCTCAGCCGCACTCGTCAGCAGCACTTGCGGGCGGCCCACGCCGAGCAGACAAGGCCGCAGCACGGCTGGAGACGACCCCTGCACGGCTTTCCTCGAGTGCATCTTCGGCGGCTGTGTCAAGGCGGCACACGTGGTCGCCCGTGCGACCGCCCGACTCCTCCACCCTCTCGCATGCGGCGCGTTTCCGCACTGTGAGCTTCTCCCACATGTCATCCTGTGGTCGCCGGTGCTCATGACCGCTGCCTCAGCCGCCGTGCAATGCTGCCGCATCACGGGCAACCTCCTCAACTGCACTTGGTCATTCTCGTGGGTCTCGCTTCCCATGGCCGCCGTGTGCGTGACTTTGGGGTGCATGGCGGGGTGCGGCGGAAGCAGGGGTGCCCGGACGGTCCCTCAGAGTCTGGTATGTGTTACCCGTGCGGGGTTGGCTGCGCTCTGGGGGTCGGGCTGGCGTGTGTTGGAGCGCCTCATGGTTTTCTTCGCCTGCGTCTGCCCGACCGATTTCCTTCGCCTGAAGATAAAGCGTAAGTTGAAAACACGCGACTTGGCTGCCTTCTGTGCATTGCTTCTTCCATTGTGTGGACATGTAGGAACTAAGTCGCCTTGTTGGACGAGCGTCGCGCGGCAGGTCGTCGGTGCCGTCTTCAGCACCGTCGCCCGCATTTTCATCCTTTGTCTCTGTGGTGCCGAGGCAGCCCCCCTGGCCTCAGGCTTCTACCGCGAGCTGGCTGGCCTCCCGGCCTCTGTCTACGGCCTCGCCGGGCTGCTCGTCATGGGCTCGGCATTCTGCCTACTGATGCACCATGGGGGCGAAGGTGGAGGTCAGTCGGCCAGCGGCAGCCCCACCAGTGGCCCGTCGCACCAGCGGCAGGGAGGCGGAGCAGGACATGAGTGCGGCGGTGGGAACGGCTCGCAGCCAGATGGCGAGGGTGACGATGCCGGCGAGGGGGGCGGCGACCAAGACGGTGGGCGAGACCCCCGCCGCCGTTCGACAGCTCCTCGCCGTCCCCCGCGCACGGGTGGGTGCCGAATGCACACATCGTATCGATTGATACCTCTCTGTCTGTGTGTGCCTCTCTGTCAGCCGTGTGGATTTGGGTGAAAGCAGTGGACGAGGCTGAGGTCTTCTCCAAGGCCGAAGCGGCCAAGATCGTCACTCGTCGAGTGTCCCCCAACCTGGTGCAGGAACAGCCGCCATGGCCCAACTGCGTCTGCGTCGAGATGGACGGTCAGCTGAAACACACACACACACACACGCAGGCAATTCAGCGCATTGTTTCCCCGCTCGTGTCTTCTCAGGTACGACGCCTTCGGTCGTTTCTGAGCTGCTCAGCATTCACCCACCCCTGTGTTTTCGATTCGTCGACGATATGGACGGTGCGCCGCAGACAAACGTCACTCATACGGGAGAGTCGTACATGTACTGTATATGTGTCGTTCGTTGGTCTGTGCTTCAGGTTTCGGTCTACCCAATGGTCCCGGCGGGCAGCCACTGCAAGACAACACGGACACACCAGCAGGTGACTCATGCTGGCACATGCGTACTCGTGAAGCCATCTCATGCGCGCCTCTTCGTGCCTGCCGTCTCCCAGACGATGATGGTGAGCTCCCGCAGTGGCCATATCCGTATGCGCATCCCGGCATGAAGGGTAGGTGTAGGACACAAGACCCACCCCATTTCATTCTTGTCCGTGTCCGTCTCCTCTGTGTCAGTGGATGATGACGCGACCAACGCTGTCCATCCCCAGATGACAGGTCATACTTGTCAACACCAGAGTCATGCAGGGCCGCTGCAGTCAACAAAGCTGATTCTTTTGGGTGTGCTGCTGTTCAGGTGGCCAAGCAATGCCATTGATGAACCTGCCTCCTGCTGCGAATGCGTTTCCGCCCTCAAGCGACGGTGTGCTGTCTGAGCCTTCCACCTCATTCACTCACGGGCAAACATTCCTTTCCCTTCACTGATTCAGGCGGCCCTACATCCATGCACCGACAAGAGGTGAACGCCGGACAGTGAAGGTGATTCAGTCTGCACCCATTCCTTATGTGTGAATCAGGGACGCAAGAGGGGCCGTGATCGATCGCACCCTTACTCACCCACTGGACTCCAATCGCATGCACCGGGTCAGCTGGTCGGCGCACTCCATAGACGGATTGTGAGTACTTCTTGCGGTTCATTGACCTGAACAGGTCTAGATCCACTGACCGCGGCCCTGTCGACAGCGGAGGGATGGCGGGCCGCCTGCAAGAGCCCCACCGAGGAGTTCTCCGTCGACGGCTGCATCAACTACGAGCCCTACAAGGAGGGCACGCCTGTGCTCTCTGGCGTGAGTATCCGCTTGCGCCTCGACAACTTCCCTTCAGGCCCTGTCGTCTGGACGCCGTGGGTGCCGTCCACCACCGACCAGCACAAGCTCGACGCGGATGCCAAGAACAAGAACAGCAGGTTTTCCCTTGGGCACAGGTGGAGGTTCCCGACGTTCGGTCGGTGGGCCGGTGGTTCTGACACTGCCAACTACGAGAGGGATGGGGGGAGGCTGCCCACGCTGGGTGGGAGGTCCTACGTCCCGTCTCCCGTCCGCTACAAGGAGAAGGACGTCTTCCTCTGCACACATCACGCGGACGATGGGGACGCCCCGTGCAACGTGCTCTGCCAAGACATCTCTGCGCACAGCAAACCCCACGACCTCGAGAAGGAGATGCGGCGGTGGATGGCACAGCATCCTCCCCCCATGAGCATCTCTGCACAAGACGTCAGCGCCAAGCTGGTAGAGGTGGCCAGTCGGCTCAACATGCGTAGATTCAATGTCAGCAAGTGGATTAATGCCTTCATGCAACGGTGGCAGCAGGTGCGATGGAGCAAACACAGGGAGGGAAGGCCGTCCATATGGATTTATGGCTGTCCATGCGAAGTGTCTCGTCTCTGCAGGCTTCCCACAGTCCAGCAGATGCACCAGCTGCTGCAGCGGCTGCAGCCGCTTCCCCCAATGGCCACCACATGACTCCAGGTAAGAGCACCAGACGAGCACCAGACGAACCAGACTGCTTCAATGTGACCGCCTCATCTTTCCTTCCATCAGGTGTTGACTTTGCGCACCATGTCAAGGGGGTGGTCGACTCAGACCCGCTCAACAACCAGGGGCTCCGCGTATGCCGTGACGCCAGCAGTGGAGCTGTTTTCATCCGTGTGGTGGGAGAACCATTTGAGGTTGAGCAACTGTTTCCTGTCGGCCCTGAGCCGCTCGCGCCGACGATCATACGCGCAAGGCAGCACCGAGATAGCAACACCGGTGAGCCCTCATGCTCACGCACTCCGTCGACGAGAATCTCTTGTGCATAAGTGTGTGTGGCTTCGTCATCAGTGTGCCAGAGCGAGCCACCGTCCACTTCGTTGAGCGCCCCCACGCCCATCTCCATGTTTCCCTCGAGCACCGGTGCGTCGGCAGCACACCAAGCATCGCTTTCATACGCATCAGGTCAGGCACATCATACGCATCACTGTGCCAATCCTTAAGCCAATACCTTACCTGTCTGCCTGTCTGTCTGTCTGTCTGCTCGTCTTCGGTGCAGGGCAGCAACTCGACCAACCCAATGGGGTAAGACAGAGCCCAGGCTGGTCACGGCAAACATGACATGCGTTGTCTCTTCTTGTGCTCCTCACTTCTTCCTCAGGAAACCGTGGCTGACATGGCACCCGCCGGACCTCCTCCCCCCGAGGACGCGGACTGTGAGAAGGTCCTCTTTGGTGATGGTGGGGCAGCTGGGCGTGGGCGTTAAGGGGAGGGAGAGGGGTGAGAGGGGTGCTTTCAAAAATGCTGCTTTTCCAAAATCCATGATTTTTGTGAGTAAATGGATGTATCATAGTTTTTTTCCCGACGTACACGTGTCGGACCTCCCGGTCGAGGCGATGCTGGGTGTGGTGGCGGGCGTGGTGCGGTCGTGGGGACGCGGGGGCTACGGGGTGCCGGCCTCGGCAACCCACGTGTTGCGTAAAAAATGTGACATACATGTAATGACGCGCATGGCTAGCTGGGTGTTCATGGTGTGCTGACGGTGCGTTTTTCGCCGTCGACCAACGAGCGCACCTCGCGCACCTCACATCGCAAGCTCAGCCGAAACGAGGGGGGGTTGATGGTGAGAGAGAAAGAGAGAAGGGACGGGGCACAGAAGACAGCAAAGAGGGAGGCAGGGCCGCCTGAAGGAAGCGTGTATGGGCGAGAAAGGAAGACACAAGGGGGGAGAGGGTGCTGTTGTGTCTCGTGGGTACGTCTGCATGCTGTGTGTGTATGTTCGTGCTGCTGCGCTGTGCTGATGTCTTGTGAGTCTCTTTGGCTCACCACTTGCTACTTATCTTTGCTCACTGACGTCTGCCTTTTATCCTGTCCGTCTGGAATATCCGCTCACTGACACCGAGGGAGGGTAGAGGCCACCGAGAGAGAGAGAGAGATGCACGGATTGACGACCCACCACTCATCCTGCATCTGATGTCTGCCTGTGTACCACCATTCCTGTGCTCAGGCATTGACACTGAGAGAGGGTAGAAGACGGAGAGAGAGAGAGAGAGAGAGGGTGGGTGTCACTCGGCTTCATCTGTGGAAGCTCCTGACATGCATACGTACATACACACATACTCACACAGACACACACACTATCTCTCTCCGTGCATACATACATACCATACCTGCCTTGTATCACTGACTGACTGACTGACTGACTACTTCACCGCCCTCGTCCATGCGCTTTTGTCTTCGTACATGCATACATACACACACGGCTGTCTGCAATACAGCGTACATTCCATGTGTCCCTATCTCTCGTGCATCCATACCATACCGTACCACATAGCCATAGCATTTCATGCCATCCCATGCCATGCCATGCCATGTATCACTGTCTCACTACTGGCTGACTCACTGACTGACTGACTGCCTCCCAGCCTTCATCCATGTGAGCCACTCACAGTCGCGCTTCTATGCTCTGACATACATACATACATACGCACCTGGTCAGCGGAGCATGTCTATGTGTGATGTCGGGTGTTCTATTTCCCCCGCCCCGCCCCCTGCCTAGCTGCCTACATGCTCGACTAGCTCTACTATGCTCTTACTGACTGGTGCACTCGTTGCGTAAGACTGAACTGGCCGTTTCTTATTTGTACCCTACTCCCACATACTTACTCATGTTGCGTGCTTGCTTCCATGACCTGTCAACACCACAACCGACGACCGACCCCTGTATTTGTTCTCTGATGGGGGCGGCGAGCGGCTCGTGGTGGGTCTCACCGGTGTTGCATGCTATGCACTTGTGCTACTAGCTCTCTTGCATACTAAGGTACGTGGCCACTCGGACAATGTAGAGTTCTCGGCAATCGATCCTTGTTCGTGTGAGTGAATGTGTATGCCTCGATTTTGCTGTTGTGTAACCGAGGGACCGATGGACGGTGGTCGGTCGCTCATAAGCGAGTTGACACGTGAACGTCGGAGCATGTGTGCGTGTCGTGTGCATGTGACGTGCCCCCTGCCTTTCACAATACATGATGATGGTGATACACATGCATCACGGGAGGGCCACACATGGGTGATCTGTACCATACACACACAGGGATGGGTCGGGTATGGTGTTCGTTCCTTCCAGTGTAAGTCCTCACGCTATTCTCTCTTCAGTAGGTCGTTACTGACTACGCGCAACTCGCCTTCATTCCACCTCCCAGCAACGTGCAACGGTTCTCTGCAGCAGTACGACCATCGCCATACACACCCATACGTACATACACATCTGGATCGTCTGGGTCAGCGGAGCATATCTATGTGTGTTGCAGTGCCATGTTCCCCCCGCCTAGCTGCCTACATGCTCGACTAGCTCCATGTGCGTAAGGGGGCTCGCTCAGGGCCTGACATGTAGTGAAATGGCCCCTCGTGGTTGTGATGCATACCGCGCGTCGTGTGTAGGTGTGTGTCTTCGACTGCTCGGTGGACAGCCGCAGCAGCAGCGAGTTTTGGCTGTTTGTTTCGATGTAGGAATCAGGGCCCTCTTATCGCTCATGATTCCTCCTACGCATACCATGGTTCCATGCTTTGCGGCAGGTACTGGGGCTCCTGGGATTGTAGTCATGATGATATCACTCCTCACCGATCTAGCCTTGACTTCATCTAGTCTTGACGTCTCACCCTTTCACCCATAGGCCACGTTTTCCCTGTCTTGGCTGCGACTTTCGTCGTGTCTACGTGTCTGTCAGTGGCCGATGTCTTGGCTCCTTGGTGTGCTACTGGGAGCCAGAGGGTGTGCACCTGCAGGTGCAACCACTCATGAGACATATACGCCCGTATCCCCATTTTGTGGGCGAGATACTGATATCAGTGCGGTCGTACGTGTTTTCTACGTGAGAGCGCGTGAGTGAGAGAGTGAGCGAGTGAGTGAGTGAGTGAAAGGAAGCAACGACATACACTTCCATGGGCTGCCTCCTTTCTGATTGCTGCCTGATGCACACTTGCCCTTACTTTCTTTCTCGTATGCGTTTCTCTGTGTGTGTGTGGATGCCGGCGGCAATGGGGAGCTCCCCACACTCTGACCCGCCAGTGATGTGAGTGATGACTCCCTTCCGAGAGGCACGCATGGGATGGGTCCTTTTACACACGGATGCGAAGCTCATGTCACACGTATACTCGGCTGACAGGGGCTGCCTTGCTCATTCCCCTGTGTGTCCATGCTTGTACGAATGCAGGGCAGCCATCGTCCACAGATGCGCACTGACCGAGATAGATGCCTGCGGACACTCACTCACCTCCGTACGTGTACACCTAGACAGATACGCCTGCATACATACATGTGCATGATATGACTATGTGGGTGCGTGTCGTATCTATGTGAGTCAATGTGCATGCATTTAGCTGTGTATTCCTGAATGACGGATGGACGGGCTTTTTATCACGTCGGAGCATATGTGCGTGTCGTGTGCATGTGACGTGCCCCCTGCCTTTCACAATACATGATGATGGTGATACACATGCATCACGGGAGGGCCACACATGGGTGATCTGTACCATACACACACAGGGATGGGTCGGGTATGGTGTTCGTTCCTTCCAGTGCAAGTCTTCACGCTATTCTCTCTTCAGTAGGTCGTTACTGACTACGCGCAACTCGCCTTCATTCCACCTCGTAGCACAGACAGACAGACAGACACGTGCAACGGTTCTCTGCAGCAGTACGACCATCGCCGCACACTCACACACATACGTACATACATATCTGGATCGTCTGGGTCAGCGGAGCATATCTTTGTGTGTTGCGGTGCCATGTTCCCCCCGCCTAGCTGCCTACATGCTCGACTAGCTCCATGTGCGTAAGGGGGCTCGCTCAGGGCCTGACATGTAGTGAAATGGCTTCTCCTCTGGTGGCTTCGGTGGTGGTGTTGGTGACATTACCATAGCACCACACACTTACTCATGTTGCGTGCTTGAATTTGAGGCCTTTGCACACCATAACTGACGGCCGACCTGTTTATTCGTGTCTGGTGCTGAGGAGAGAGAGAAAGCAGCACAGTGCGTGTCTCATCTGTGGTGCGTGCTCTGCATGTCTGCTTGCTCCCTGGGACACTTGCATGCCTCCGTACAATCGATCGTCGTGTGTGTGTGTGTCTTCGACTGCGCGGCGGAAGAGAGTTCTGGCCGTTTTCCCCTGATGCAGGAGTCAAGAGAGGGATGGAGAGGCAGGGCTGCCCTCTTATCGCTCATGAGTGCTCATGGTATTTATCAATGTTTTCATGCTTGACGGCCAGAGGCTGGGGCCTCTTAACACACACGCAGTCTAGTCTTGACGTCATCTAGTCTTGATCGCTCACCTTTCCATTCACACGCCACAACTGCCTGTCTTGGCTGCTTTTTTTGTCGTGTCCTCATGTCCGTGAGTGGTCGGTGTTTTTCCTTCTTGGCGTGCCTCCCTCAGCGCTCATGCGTAAGTGTGTGTTGAAGTGAGAGAGCACGTGCATGAGTGAGACACCCCGGCCGGAGCAAGGGGGTGTACTCGTCAGATGCAACCACTGGTGAGACATATGCCCCCATATCCCCATTTTGTATGCGAGATATCAGTTCGTTCGTACGTGTTTTCTACGTGGGAGTGCGCGAGTGTGAGAGCGACGATTCACACACATTGGGCTGACTTGTGCTTCCTGCGTATGCCGAACTGTGCGCCATACATATCATTGACATGTACATTTTCATGGGCTGCCTCCCATCTGATTGCTGCCTGATGTACATGTGCCCTGTACTCTCTCTCCCTACCTCTGTCTGTGTGCCGTGTTAGGGAGAGATGAGTACAGGGGGATTCCCCACTCTGATGATTCCCTTCCGGTTGTGAGTTTTTTCACGGATGGGGAGCTCATGCTCGATTGACAAGGGTTGCCTTGCTCTGATGCCAGTGCAGGGCAGCCCTCGTCCGCACATTCGCACATGCATCCGTGCGCGTGTGGCCACACACGTACCAGAAAGATACGCTTGCATACATACATGTGTATGATATGACCATGTGGGTGCGTGTATGTCTGTGGTATGACTATGTGAGCGCCAATGCGTATGGTTGTGTCCACTCTCTTCCTTGCACGTGTCCACGCTGCATCTGTCCGTGCATGTTATGTGATCATGGATGTATGTTTGTGTGTCTTGTGTGAGTCTTGTGTGTATGGGCCTACATCTCACGCGAGAGAGAGACTACATGTATGCATACCTATCTACATACATCTATCTTCATTCACTCATTCATTCATTCATTCATTCATTCATTCACACATACATCGGAGGGGTCTACGCTTGTCTTAAGGCAGCTGCAGCTGGTCGGCTCTCACCGTGCTTCGCTGGTGTTTGATTTGTGATTGTTGCACACCCACATGCACACTCGGGATGCTTGGAAGACACTTTGAAAGATTCACATGCATACTCGAGTCAATGAACGTGCCTTTCTCTCAGTGATTCAGTGAACCATCATGGTGTCCTCACGATGATGCTATCACGAAAATGAGCAACATTCGTTCATTGGTTTGCAAAGAGTAATCACACTGGCGATCGGCCAACCCTAAGGCGAGGGTTTCGCATCGCTTGTCGTTCCGGACAAAGCCCGGCAGTACGCAGCCGGTGCGATAGCTGCAGGTGAGCTCAAACACAGTGCAGATCTTGGTCATTATGCGCTGAATCTGTGGTTTTGCAGGATGCTTGATGAGTGATTCGGGCGGTGCTTCCTCCGGCCACGATTGATTCACATCCCCACGCGGCCGCTCGTTCGTCTGGTCCGGTCATGCAGGATGAGGAAGCGCCGGCGAACGCAGGACGATGTGAGCGGCAAGCGTACGCATCTGGGTCACTTCCAGACGTGCGTCGAGACCGGACAGTGTTGCAGCAGCCACAAGGTCACAGCGGACCCTCATGTGAGTCGACAACACGGGAGAAGACGCCTCCAAGCACATCTGTGGGTCATGTGTGCGATGTCCAGATGACAATGAGTTTGCTTCTCTGGGTCATCCATTGGTGGCTGTTGGTCAGCCAGCCGCCGCCCTACCGGCGTCCCCTCACTCGAGCCGGGTGCACCCCTCATACTTTCCCTCGCAGCAGCGCACAGCGGCCTCCAAACAGGCAGCTGAATTGACTATCGGCGAGAGGGAGGCGCTGCTGGCCGACTTCGAAAGGCGCAAGGCAGCGGGAGAGGCGCTTACTCAGCAGGCATTTGCACTTGAGAAAGGCATTATCCCACTATATATCCCGCTCACGCAGTTCAAGAACTGGTGCCATCGCTCTTCAGTCAAGCGAGAGCCGCAGCACGAGGCAGCCGACAAGAGCAAGAAGCGCTACAGGCAGTCGCCTTTTCAGCCGATCGAGGTCGAGGTGCGTCAGTGGATGGCGGGGCATGAAGACCAAAGGAAGATTCCGATCAAGGCCATTCGTGCCAAGGCGATTGAGATCGCTGTTCGGCTGGGCATCAGTGGCTTCTCGGCAAGTGACACATGGATCAGGGGCGTCAACGACAGATACATGCAGGTGGGATGGAGCTATATGTCCACACATGTATCGATTTGCTTTGCCCGCTTTTCCCAGGACCAAGGACAAGCCTCCAGTGCGGCTGCAGCGGCGGCAAGCGCACCCGTCGCCCTTCCCTCTCCCCCAGTGCATCCGACGCACCCTCTTCCATCTTCACTGCCCAACGAGGGTGCTGCATTTGGGCACATAGCCGATGCATTTATCGGCTGGGGTACGAGCGATGAGTCCACAGAGAGGGAACGCCCTGTCATCCCGAGCAGCCATCGTTCTGGCGCATCACCTGCCACTCGTCGGGCCTCATCTCAGCCACCACCACACCAGCCAGCGGCAGAGGCCGACGGCACCCCTGCATCATCACGCGGTCGGTCGAAGGAATACACCATAGCTGAGCGCACGGCACTGGTGGACGAGTTCTCTCTACGGCAAGCCGGCGGCGAGAAGATCTCTCAGCGGGCATTCGCCAGGGAGAAGGGCATCAGCTTCGACCAGTTCAAGCACTGGGTGCTGCAGATCAAGAAGCTGAGAGAGGAAGGGCAAGACCCCAGCGACATCAGCAAAAGGAGGCACAGAGCAGTCAAGTGGCCGCAGATCGAGCAGGAGATGGCCGAGTGGCTCGGCAGCCGCAGCGACCCCTCGGGCATCGCCAAGAGGGAGCTGAGGGACAAGGCCAAAGAGATCGCGGCCCGCCTGCAGGCGACAGACTTCAAGTGCAGCGACTCATGGCTGGATGGATTCAGAAAACGATACCAACAAGCACCATCCAAGCGCCAGGTACACAGCCGATAAACAGGACTTACACCTGGGCTGGCCTGTTCCGTTGTTCCTTGTTCCATGGGTTCGTCAGAGTGCTTCCGTCGCGCCATTGGAGACGACAGCCGCAAAAGAGCAGGTACAAACGCTGGTGTGTGCAGACAGTGCGGCGGTCTATTTACGTTGCTGCGGTGTGGCGTCTGCACAGCCTCTCGCGCTTCCCTTTTCCTCGCATGGCCTCGCTTCTGGTACAAGGCACGTGTGCATGAATGCGGCTAATACGACACTGCTGCGGTGTGGACTCAGATCTCACGTCTTCCGGAGCGGCCCAACCAGCAGGGACAGGTGAGGAGAACGAGAGGTGCTAGAGTGTCCTGACCCATCCGTTCTTGTGTGTTTTTAGACTTCGCGCCCCTACAGAGCTACTTCAGCTCGCCCAATCCCTGGGAGCCGAATGATCCGCCCGCTGTGACCGCGACACCGTCCCTCCACGTCCCCCTCACCTCCTGTCGTCCACCTGCTTTTTCGGCCCCCATACCAACCGAAGAGGCGTCAGTGTCGGCGGCAGCTTTAGTGGCCGGTTCAGCGGATGGTGCGGATTGCGAGAATCCACATCGCATTGGCGACCTAGCATCGAGTGGCGAGATACTCAGTGGTCAGGTCTACACAACGGTGCGAATGGGGGATTCATTCATTGGACCGATTACCGACCTCAGCCGACAGGTAGATAATATCTAATGTGGAAAACCAGAGGAAGGACGTTTTTCTCTGATGGACTGCAGACGACCACCTGTCCACCAAACGACGAGGTTGACTCCAAGCTGGAGCAGCCATCAGAGGGCCAGACCACCATGAGCGTAAGTGATGACACCTGACTGCCATGACGACCGTACGAACAGGAAGCTGAGGCTCTGTTCGTAATTTGCTCGTTCAGATGGTGCCGTCAGAAAGCAGGCTGACGAACCAGAGGCCGCCGACGAAGGTCCAAAGGACCAACGCACGATCTCACAGACACGCCACACCGTCTGTGGTGAGCAGAATGCAATGAGCTGGACGAGCTGACAGTGACGTGGCTTCTGTCTCCCCTGCAGGTGTCATTTCGTTCATCGGGTATCAGTGGCCGTGACCTCCAAACTAACCTAGGAGAGGTGAGCATCGACAGGGGACGGCTTACTGCATCAATGATCCTGTTGCTGCCCTTCTCTCTCTGTGTCGCCATCATCAGGCCGATGCTGATATTGGTAGCGTGTCTGATGCTGACAGCGTCAGTGTGTCGTCTGTTGGTGCGGCTCCTGACGTCGCGGCCCTGTCGACCTGCAGCACGACAGACGACGGCGACATGCCGACGCAAAGACGCGTGAGTGAAACCTAGAGCGCACATGTCTGTTTGGCTATATGGCTCTGTTTCGTCCTTTCTGCAGGTCATCGCGGGAAGCAGCCTGAGGGCGCCTGAGTGTGCGGCTCTTCACTCCCTCTTCGTGCCATCGATATTCGAAGAAATCACATTCACGCTGCTGTACAGGTACACGCACATTAAAGGGAGGGACACAACACATGACAACTGCTATTCTTGTTTCAGGGCCTCCCATGATGGCGCAACCTTTGGCGATCTTCTTCGGTGCGTTGGCGACACGAAAAGCCTGGTATTCGCGGTCAGGAAGGGCGGCTGTCTGTTCGGCGCCTACATCAGCGACGGCGTCAAGCTTCCCGATGGCCCAACTGCCGTCAACAGCTACAGCTGTGACGCATGGCAGTTCTCCCTTGCCGACCACTTCAACACGCCCACCAAGATCGACTTCCCTCGATACAGGAAGCGTGTCGAGATAGCCGCGAGGGAGTGCACAGTAGACGGGGCGGTCGCCATCGGCGATGGACAGGGTCTCAAGGCGCAGCTGTGTTTTGGCTATGGCCGTCGAGATGGTGCATTTGGTGCCGATATGCGCAGCTGCTATCAGAACATCTGCAGGGATTTTCTGCCTGAAGGGTATCAGGGGGCGAGAGGGGATGGCCACGCCTTCTTTGGTGGCGGTGCGCAATTCATGGCTGACGAACTGGAGGTCATTCGTGTGGATGGACTTTTTTTGCTGTCGCCACAGGTCAGACACACACATCAATGAACATATGCCTTTCACGCCTTGCCCGCTGTTCCTCTGCAGGGGATCGAAGGCAGCAGTTTGGGTGTCATCGAGTGTGCGGCTCTCTACTGCTTTCTCGGAATAACCACACAGGGCAAGGCGAGGCTGCTCTACAGGTACGACATTCGCTGAAGGTGAAATCAGATCATTTGTGTTTGCCATGTGTACAGTGCGTCGCGCGACTGCTCATCGTATGCCGAACTCATTCGATGTGTTGGCGACGCCACCCGCCTGGTGTTCGTCATCCGGAAGGGCGCCTTTGTCTTCGGCGCCTACACAAGCGGCGGCCTGCACCTGCCCGATGATCCCGCTGCCGTCAACAGCTACAACTGTGATGTGTGGCATTTCTCCCTGGCCGGCCACTTCAAGACACCCACCAAGATCGACATGCCCGACAGGCAGCTCGTGCGCGTCGCTGGGCGGGAGGCGGGGGCAATGCTGCTGATTGGCGAGCAACTATTTCTCGGTTATGGCGGCTCTCACCGGGACAGTGGTGCTGATTTGCGTAGCTGTTATCAGCTCATTTTCAGCAGCCTTCTCCCTGCGGGCTACCAGGGCGCGAGGGACGGGAGCGGCAATGCAGTGTTTGGTGGGAGTGGTCACTTCATAGCTGACGATTTGGAGGTGCTGACGGCCGGGGAACGTGATCTTCCCAAGCCGAGCCGCCTCAGTTGAATGGCGTCGTCAAGCGGCCTGGAACGAGACTCGCCTGTGTGTTGCGTCTGTCGATGCGAACCGTGATGAAGGAGTGTGTTTGAATGTGTGTATCTGAAGGGAGTACGAGTGAATGAGAGTGGAGCCTGGGGCATTTGACCGGCTGAATGCACACACGGGGGCACTCATCGTCACGTGTGTGTGGGGCGAGAGGGAGGGGCCTCTTTCCTCGTTGTCTCTGTGTGTGTTTTGTGTGTCTGTTGCCCGTGAGTGGAGGAGTGAGTGTTGCTCGGCTGCAGTCTGGCTCATCCGTGGCGCATGTTTTCGTGGACAGCAAGCACATCCTGTTTACCAATGGTATGCTCTTTACGTCTATCTATACCTTTCTTTCGTGCCTTATGTGTCCAACGCGATTGTGGTGCCAATGCGATGCGATGAGATAAGATGTGGTGTGGTTTGATGTAGCGTACTGGTGCTGGCTTTCTAGCTGGTACAGCGAGCTTCTTTTATAGCCACGCAGGCTGATTGGAGCCATGTCGGCCGATCTGGCTTAATCCATCTCGTGTGGCTGTTGGGGGGCGGTCTGTACTTCTGGTATCACACGTCAGAGCATTCTCAGAATGAAGAATGAATAGCGTCGAAGCTTTTTGCTGACCGCAAGGAGACCGTCGCGACATCCGGCTGAATGTGAGTGTATGAGTGTGAAAAAGGCCGTGTTTGTCCGCTGCAGCGCCAAGGGAGCACGGCGGTGGATGTTTTTTTCACTGCTGGTGTGTCAATAAATGGCTGTGTCGGCTGTGTCTGTCTGCTCCGCCCTGTCCCCCCCGCCCCCTCCTCCACCCTGTCCCCCCCGCCCCCTCCTCCAC